TATTCCTCGTAATTCTGCTTAGGAGTTCCAAGTCTTCAGAGGCAATATTTGTCTAACTAATTATAGATAAATTCGAGGAAACTATAAAAGCTTTTCCATGAATTGAAATAAGCCTGGAGGCTGCAACAATGGGAGTCATGGGGAAATAATCACTAGTGTTAATTGCGAATAATTTATAAACGTCGTAAGTTATTTCATGCTTTTTATCAATCATAAGAAGATCGAAAGATCACTTTATTGGAGACACTCATTAGTGCTAACATGAATATACCATTGGAGTTGAATTGCGTCTTATTTGGAAATTATTTGCAATTTGAAATCATAGTAATGATCAAGAATTCGCTGTAGAAAAATTAATGTACTTGTTGGTAAGTAAGGATTGAGATTTCATGGAAGCGAGCTCTAAAAATATATGTTTTGTGGTCAAACATACAAAAATATTACTGAATTGTCAGGGTTTTATGTATCTTAATATTGTTCAAAGTCCATCTTCGAGCTTAAATCTGAATACTGCAAGGAAGAAAGCACGATTTCAAACTTATATAGTAACTCTTCAATCAAATTAGAACCTTCTTCAACCAAGTAATTATTCGACTACATTTCTTTGTGTATTTATTCACTCATACTCAGTACGTTTATTCATTCACGCAGTTTAAAATTGGATGCTTATTGATGAAACTAAACAATTTACTTGTCTTTCAGAAGTTAGTGTGAACTTAAAATAAGCTCACACTTTTGATATTACTCCAAGAAAGTTAGAGTATTGAAGTTCTCCTGCTTTAGTGCAGTCATTGTGTTCCATTAGAAATAATTTACTATTTTGGGTGAGTCTGGAAAGTCTTGCTAGTTTCAATAATTGACTTTTTAGACTGAAAGCCTTGTCCGGTGCAGACGATATTTTATTGCTGCCAAACGCATTATTTCACTTAAAAGTGAGTGCATTTCTTTCCAAAAGCTCTCATCATTGATCGATCTATTAGAACGTTAACTTAGAGGGCATCATTAACTTGGAGTGTCGATTGCGGAACGTAGCTAAAATCTTCTGCTTAAATCTATTTAACCAAATCTGGATGATGGACGTTGACACTTGAAGGTCTCTTCTTTCTTTGTATGACCCTCGTGTGTCGGATTAAGAAATGAAGTTCAAATAAGACCGATCAACACGATGTTCAAACTGAAGTTTTTAATCATTTTTTGGGTAAATTTTAACGAATACCGAATGCGATTCCAGGTAGGCATTGCAAAATTGATATGAAATACCATGATACCGGTACATAGTTCATGCACCTCCTAATACTGGTGGCAATACTGTATATTAATATCATAATCCTGCAGGTACCATGGAACGGATAAGAAATGTTCCTTTCGACACTATAGTTACGTACCACATTTACACATAACTTATAATTTGTACCATGCAGGTGATGTAACATCGGAACCCGTTTGATCCATGGCCATACAGTTATTAGGTAAAATAATGAATTTTTGTTTGATTAATAAAATGGACTTCCAGACATTCACGTCAGAATTTATGCCTATAATGTCGCAGATATATTTTTCACATACTCCAATTTTTTTTATTTCACAATGAATCGCCGAACCAATAGCACCAATTTTAACGCAATTAACGATAATATAACGTATAATTGAGTTGTCTACTTCAAACATTGCATTATCTTCATGCTTAATTACAGGGGATTATTCAAGTTGAAATTATTAAGATAGTTTTAGAGGACCAATCGCAAATGTTATTGTCCAGTCATTGCGAATCATTTGTATATAATTAGTAACTTGCCTTCAGATATTAGTCAAATGGTTCTATTCACAACATGGACTCAGTAAAACAGCCTAGCTGCAATTCTGGCACATTAATATGTAAATCTCAGTATTTTGTGTGAGGAAAACGTTAATTGAAATCCGAAAGAAATCTAAACACGCCAGCACAATAACACGCTGGCACACGTGTGTACATGCCAGCACAATACCACGCTGGCACACGTGTGTACATGCCAGCACAATAACACGCTGGCACACGTGTGTACATGCCAGCACAATAACACGCTGGCACATGTGTGTACATGCCAGTACAATACCACGCTGGCACACAGGAACAGGTACTGTTCCTGTGTACACGTTGTACACAGGTAAATGTCAACTTAACCGCGCGAGAATCATCTCGTATAGGCAAGGGTGGCAAGGGCGCAGTCTATTGTAGTGCTGTTTATTGTTATTGTTAAATAAATTGTTGAAATCTATGGAAACACAATAACAAGTGTGAAAACAATAGCAACAGCAATCACAACGGTTAGTATAAAAATGGCCGTGAAAGCTTTCAGTACTGTATTTATTAAAATAACAGTTACAACATTCATAACTGAAAATCTTAAAACTAGTGACAGCATTTTCAAATGCTTTAAAACTAAAATACTGATGGTCTAAACAACGCTAATGGCAGAATTAATTACAATAGTTGATATAACACTGTTAAGAGATTTCACTATTATAAGTTTTTGCCCAATTGTGCAGCAAAAACCTCTTCACACATTATCGAGCAACATTATTGTATGCAAATAAAGCAGTAGAGAATCATCAAGAGTAAGGAGATTCGAGGTCCATTTCTCTTTGTTTGAATTCCCGAAATGATAATGGAATGGCAGCACTTTATCTTGAGGTAAGTGTCACGTCCATTTATCATCGATCAATAAATTGATGGCCTAACCATAAAAGCTCGGCTCAGAAACTCTGCAAGGGAGGTGTGGTGAGCATTCATAACGGCGGCCACTGCCACTGTGTTCACCACAGTTCAGCGGCCTCAGCCACTGTGTTCACCGCTACACCACTTTGTATCCAACAGAAAACAGCGGATACTGCCACTGTTCATCTTGGCACATCGGCCACTGGCGATTAATTAGAAATACAATGCCGTTGGCACCGTTTTTTTCAAATGAAAAACTGTGGCAAACATTTGTTTGTTAATGCAAAGCCAGGCAGCCATAAAATTGAAAAAGCTGTGGTCTATCCACTAGTAACCGACTGCGCTGGTGAATATAGACTATGGAAAGAAGTAACCTAAATGCACGCGTGAAAAAATAGCTCAATTGCTGCTTTGCACAGGTAAAAATTCACCAATAACCTTTTGGGACAAAACGACGCCAGTAACCGCTAAGTGAGTGCAAAAATTAATTAGACAAATAACTGCTGTGCGCGCGTAAAAACTTACCAGTAATATCGCCACTAATAGATTACTCCCCAGTAATCGATTACTCACCAGTAATCGCTGTTCGCACATATGAACAGGCCAGTAACTGCAGTGCGCGCAAAACAATTTCTCGGTTGACCTTGTACTGTATTTAAGGTGTATGTATGACTTGGGTGCAGTTAGCTAGGGTAAAATTGACCCCTCACGTGTAACATTGGCCCAAAGTTAGAAAAAGTTCATGTGCTGTAGAGCAATCTTGTGATGAGTTATCGGCTTAGTTCATGCATCACTGGATGGGTAGCACTACTAGCTTGATTGTTGACAATGTTTGCGTTTGATTCCATGTTTCTCCAGCACTCCATGCAGTGCTGCTCCGTGTTCATAGTGAGAAAGTCGTGAAGTTTGTTCACACCAAACTTTTACCAAACACAATTATTAAAAAACTGGTTGAATAAAAGAGTGTAAAATATATTATATACCAGTGTTTTTTCAAGGATTTTTTGTGTATTATGGCTGCTTTTTATGTTTCACAAAATAATGATATTGTTGAATTTTATGAAAACTTTCTCCTATGATTGGAGTGATTTTGGCCAAAACATTTAAAAAATCACGATAATATCAACAAAGTTTCGAAGAAGAAAAACAAAAAAATATGTAACTTTTCATCAGATGACGATAATGTTGAGATGATTTTAAAATCAGGTTTGCGAAACAAATCCCGATGAGAAATCAAAACGAAACTATTTGCGATTTGGAGGGAGTATTTAAAGAAGAAGCAGGCATTATACCTGTTCACTGGTAAAAATGATGAAGAAACACAAGACGAGTTCAAACGTGAACTCTTTGCGTTTGTATAAGTATATGCAAAAACAATGGGCTGAAATACCATGGAAAAACCGTAGGCTTATCTGAAGAAAAATTTTCAGTTAAATGCATGAAAAGGAGACTTGAACTTGGACGCTGGCCAGAGAAACAACTGTGCAAATGCTGCCCACACCCAATAAAATTACAATATATTATTCCTTGCAATACAATGTCTTTCACGGAAATTATATTTGTTCAACTTATTTGCATTTGTTGCCGTTTTATCTGTGTTTCTTTTTTTAAATAAAAATGACAAAAACATCACCGCCCAGAACTCGGTGAATAGGTAAATCAGAATCTCCGTTTCCTTTTCCGGCCCTAGGCATTAAATCATTAAATGTACCCTTCAGGCAACTTATAGACACAGTATACCTTGACATGAAGATAACAGCCAGTCACTGATTTTGATTTAGTGCAAAAACAGATCCAGAGTAGCTCTAAGCCGAGTGTAATAAATCTACGGAGCATAAGGCTGGTCGTTCCCCTATTTGTGTTAGTACGAATCCCTTGAACAAAAAAATATAACTACTCATTGCAGTTAGCGACAGAGAGCGCATTTTCTCGTCGACGAAAACGTGAAGTCACGGACGGACGGACAGACAGACAGACGGACATGACGAGCACAATAGGGTATTTTTTCCATAAATGGGAAAATGCGCTAAAAATGAATCTTGAACGATTGGGCTCCGAGTTTCCAACTTTTCAGAAACATTAACACATTTTTAGAATTTCGAAATAATTCTCATTCATCTCCAGCTCAAGTCCGAATTCCTATCCCCGAGACAAAATGTAAGATATAAAAAGAGATAAAAACTGAATTTTCACCATAAAACGAATTTTTACCTAAAAGCAAAGTTACTTTGATAATAGATTTTTTATTAAAAAATTACAACTTTTGCTTTCGTCTCGACTTCTTCCTCAGATTATAATTTGACTGAAGACCAAAGACTCGCTCCAAAAACTTTTTCTGTAAATTCTATTTATTGCAATAAACATTGCATGCATTCATCATCCATCATCATTGGAATGCTGAGGAGGCCGCGGCTGTTCATGATGCTGCTGTCCGTGCTGCACGGAACCGGCGTAGCATCAACGGGCTCATCCCGGTACCGCGTGCACCCCCAGGCAGGGTTCGGTATCGCTGATACCGCGGCGGTGGTGCACTATACATCGTCTGCTATACAGGTAAGGTTGCTAAGTTTGATTTTTTTCGTAATTAATATATTATTAAATTATAATAAAGCACGATTAGATAATGTTCAATCGTTTCTATCAAGTCTTGTTAAAATTTTATTTTTTATTCTCTCAAGCTATGATTTTATTCTCTCTCTTCATTATTTTATTTATTTATTATTATGATTTTATTCTCTCTAGCTCCTAGTCATGTCAATAGTTTTGTAATAGTGAACTGAAATACTTAGCTTTTTTCACTTTCGTATATTTTGGCACGAACAAGAATTTATCAATTTTGTTGTTGAATCAATTGCTCGATTATAATGAATGAATAACAACATTCTTTCTATATTTCGATAGTGCATCCGATGCGAGAAAGCAACACGTATTTTTAGACTTCCTTGTAAACTAAGGTTTTCCCCTAATGCCCATTAAGGTAATGTTGAGCTTTTCATTATTGCTGAACCAAGTTAAATTTTCACATAATTCCGAGGAAAAATTACCTGCCGAAATTTCTTTTTATTTCGTTTACGTGTCCACCTATATATTAATACATTGATTAACGCTTTTATTAGTTTCTGCAAGACGGCACATTATCTATCAATTCAGAACATTTCCATTAGCTTACTGTATCTCGTGCTGCAGATGACCACCAAATTTCTTTTTATTAATTGATGCATAGTATCTCATTTATGCCAATGCAAATTAACACTTAACTAACCAACACAAAACAGTCCATGATAAACTAATATCTCATTATTTCTCGCTTTCAGGAATTTCTGACTGCACTAAAACGAGTTAATTTCTTGCAGTGTGCTCAGCTGTGCTCGATTTCTGGCTCATCTGTCTTCTCCGTCACTGAAGAAAACACAGGAAAAGTTGGATGCAGAATTGCATCGTCTGGCTTCCGAGCTGAGAACCTCACCGCCGGCGCCGCTGCTGCAGGAGAAACAACCTACGTCGACGTGAGTCATAAACAGCTTACACAAGCCGGGGAATAACGTCATTTTAATGCTTTTTAGTGTTAATTTTTTGTTATTCAAATTATTTTTGATTTTCATAATACTTTTGGTCTATGAATTAATGTATCTTTTATATCAGCAATATTTATTTGTTATTAATTTAAGAATCATCATAATTGCATCGCAAAACTTTTCTCAGTTATTCAACGAAAGTTATGGATAACTCATGAGAAAATATTCCCAAATTTCAATTACATTTTTTTTATTATATCGAAACGTACGACTTTTTGCAGAACAGGCCACGAAACTCGGGTCGATAACTTAATACATTACCATAAAATAATTTTCCGTTTGTTACGGAAGGCAATGAGTTGAACAGTTATAAACAACACTTTAAGAAATATTCTGGAGATATTCAGTACGCAGTCGAGCCTCACAGTAACTTACGCCCACTGCGTTGAATAATATAATAATATAAAAAACTACAGACACTATCTGGTGGTCTGTGTGAACAGTCCATCACTCGCCACCATATACTCGTATACCTGCTTGAAATTAGTATTGTCATACCTATTCGCATAATATGCTACCTTGAACCTACCATACCTTTCATACTACCGTTCAACGTATAACTTAAATTTGTCAGAAATTACAATCAATTTATAAGTTAAACAATTGGTTTTACTAAGAATACTAATTCGATTTTCAATACCTAATATAATGCGAGAAACTAGTAACCACTAAATGTGAATTCCAAGGCTGATTTGGGTAAATTTTATTTCCATTGTAAGTTTTAATCAAGTGCTAAAATAATTGTATTTCGTAGCCAATAATTCCATTCTCAAATGAGCCATGGATTTTGCTGCGTTTAATTAGTTTAATATTTACCTATACAGGAACTCAGTCCTGCTCCTATACAGGAACTCACCACTGCTTCTGTGCAGGCGCTCATCTCTGCTGCACCAACTCAAGGTGGGCAATAAAGATAGACCATAAAAAATTTGAAATTCATATACATGAAAAATTAATACCTGATGAGTCCCGATCCTTTGCAACGTCCCGTAGCATAATATGTTGTTCTAAAATGCATATTTTTGGCATATATTTAACCGTGACAACTTGCATATTATTTTAAGGCCGCCCGCAGAAAGTATATGAAAATTGTACAAAGTCATATCACTTTAAGTTCGCATCTATTTACCACGAATAATTGAAGTTTCACTTGTGAATACTTTTGCTTTTGAGACGAAAACATATCCCTTTTTTCACAAATTGAAGTCGACAAATTCGTGTCCTTAAATATATTGAAATTCCTTCCTTATAAGCTCAGCTTCAAAAATTGTAATTTTTAACACGTATCTTTAAGGGTTTCAGGTCCACTTTTAGAAAAAATCTGGCATTCTTCTTTCCCGGTTGTGTTCTATTATCGTTTTCTGTTATCATTGCTTGTAACGCAGTTACCGAAATTTCTATTTTGTCAAGGCGTGTTTTAAAATACAGTTTTTTACTTACGCCGCCGCAGCGCTGCGGCCGCCGTTTAGCACGTGTGCCTTGTGGGGGGCGCAGCCTTAGGCCACAAATTTTACTCTTAAATAAGCCCTGGCGCCAACGTCCAGCTTCACCATGCATTAACTTTACTCAGCCTCAGAGCTAGAAGCTGCAGACTACGCTTGAACTCCGTAATCCAGACATGGGAAACACTGCCGAAAGATAATAGAGCCGCAGGTCTTCAACCAATGCTTAATTAAGAATGCTCGCTCATACGCGGGCAGTTCCTCATTCGGTTGTACCTACTTCAGCCTAACCTCTTCTGGTTTGGCCTAGCCTAGCCTATTCACGATGTCCTGGCTCACAACCTTCTTGCAGCCAAGGACTGGCTCTACCGGCACAGGGTGGAGAAATGTTGCAGCCTGCGTAGGTTAGGCCTGAAGAGGTTAGGTCGGAAGATGTTTGGCCAGATGCAATATGGGCTTGTTTACTTGTAGCAAGCTTATTTTGTGTCTGTGGATATCCGGCACTATGGCTTTGAGCACTTGACTTCATAGGCTTTTATGCCCTCTAGCGTTCTTGCCTACTGAAAGAAATATGAACTGAGTGTGAAGTTTGGCTAAGCTGGCCTCCAGCACGCGCCCCCTACACCATGTAGCTACATCTGTTGGGAAGCGTAAGACGCCATTATTTGACCGTACGATCGAGTCTACATCTGTTAACGTGATTTTAAAATGCCTCCACGGACAAAAAACACGGACATGCCTTTAAAATGCCTATTGAGAATCCACGGACTGCGAAGTACGTGAGTTTCTCTGTGCTCAAGACATTACATCAGTTCACATTCATGGCCAATTTAGTGAAGTGTATGGCGAAAACATTGAGAGTATTTGGTGCAGAAATGGGTCAGGGTCTTCAAAGATAGATGCACAAATATTCATAATGGGAAGCGAAGTGAAAACCTTCAGTCATTTCCTATTATTTGATTAAAAAAACCTACTGTAAAGTGGAAGAAAACAGACGATTCACGATTTCGTACTCAGATGAAAAGTTTCCAGCTGTCTCAAGAAATTGTCTCATCAGGCAGCAAGCTTATTTGACTACGGCTTTCAAAAGCTAAATCCAAGACACGATAACTGTCTCGAGATTAATGAGAATCATGGGTAATACTTTAGATTAAGTGCATCCAAAAGAAAGGGAGTTCTTTTTAATTATATGTTTTTTGTATAAAGAATCTGAAATCCGTTTTTGGCGGTCGGCATCGGAAAACCGATTTTTTCCCCGAGGCTCTAATTCGTCTAAAAAAAATCGGGCAAAAATCGGCAAAATCGGTGAAAAAAACCTAACCTAACCTAACCTAACCGTGGTTGCAATGTCGTGGTTGCCTGCAATGTCGTGGTTGCAAGAGTATATGGGTCACCGAGGCTAAGTTAAAAACGCTATAAATCCACGGTCAAGATTTAACTTGCATTTTATCATAGAAAATATATAAAAATCGGCATATATAAAAATCGGGTTTCCGATGCCGACCGCCAAAAACGGATTTCAGATTCTTTATCTACACCCCAAAAAACATATAATTAAACAAAAAAAGCACCCTTTTTTTGGATGCACTTAATCTAAAGTAATACCGAATCATGAAGTAAAGTATGTAATTTCAAGTGGATAAATTGATTTTGGGATTTTTTTTTTTGATTTTTTTTATGTCAATACGGTACTTGTTGCAAAAACATGCCTTGCACACTCTAATGCTACATAATAATCGTATTACTCTCAATTAAGATGCTGTCTATTGGTGAAATGTCTTAGAACCTACACTGATTGATTCGAATTTTTATTTACGAGTAGGACCATGTCTGACTGCATCGGACATAGTCTGCGCTACTGCAGCTCCGGCGACTTTCTTCTACCACCCTAGCGACTGCACAAAGTACCTGTGGTGTACAGGCGGTACCAACCCGGTAGAAATGCCATGCGGAGCTGGTACCTACTGGCGATTGGACATCACCGCCTGTGTTACGCCTCAGCCTGCAAAATGTTCTTGTCAGACGTCCATCTGAAGGGCCCCATACACATACGAGTTTGGTTGCCGAGTCCGACTAGCCGATAGTGATTCATGCAAAAAATTTTGAGCAATGCGCCTTTTCATCTCCTACTGTCTCTTCCATTTCTCTTTCTTCTTTCTGGCCCCTCTGCGCCACCTCTTGTTCTTTTCCACTCTTTCCTAGTGGCATCGCAACAACCGGACTCGGTTATATTTCACCACACACCTAATGTATTTTTCTCGTACAGACCAGTTGTAATGATGCTGTTTAGGCAAAAATGTTACTCAAACTGGATAATATTGTGCGCGTAGGACTTAAGGTCGTTTGTCTCAACCACGTGTCCATATCATGGGTGGCATGAAAGCTGATGAATAACAAAATTTTGAATTTAATAAAATGTATCGTGGTCCTCCTGCTGTGTAATATGTGATGTTTAGAGATTTTAGTGATCTTTCACAAATAGGCATGCGCAACGATGCACTGTTTGCACAGAATTGAAAAAAATATCAGGATACGAAGAAACAATTCTAGATCCACAACACTCTTTGACATGACCTTTCTACAATGAAATTAAAAAAAACTTGACTCAATGATTGGTTTAATCGATTTCCTATTGAATGTTCTCTTTGTCCTCACTTTTTATATGTCTTGATTTAATATCAATTTAATTTGCCTCATTTCACAACCAGAGTCAAACTCATTCTGCAACCAGTTATTTTTCACTAGCAATTTTTGGCACAGCCGTTCGACAATCCATTCAAGTGTAGTGTACACTGTTATCGTGTCTAAATATGAGTGATTTATTCAATTAAAGAACATAATCAGTCTTAATCTCGTTGCAGCCCATAGCCTGCCTCGGGGCTGAACTGCATTCTTATCAGAAAAGTAATCATATAAAATTTATGTCTATTCATTGGAGCGCAAAATACATTTTCTTCATTTCATTGTATTATTCCTTAAATAGAGCAAAATATCAACACACCGAATGATTAATCATGTTCCTTTTCGGCAAATTTGACTACTGACTAAAATAGAGCAGCCTTTGTTCTCTCATTACATAGGCCTAATGCTACGCCGTTTGCTACTGCATGGCTTTTGAAAACCAATTTAAAAAGTGATCAATATATTTCGTTACAACCGATGTCTAGTTGAAAGTTTAATGTGTTTAGTTAAAAAATTAGTTAGTTTACTTTAGGATACTTTTTCAATATAGCATGACTTTAAAACGAATCTTCATATTTTACGGAATGCAAATTTAACATTTTTCTTATATTACAAATGTGTGTTTCCCTTATGATGAGCTATTTATTGGAGGTTTGCAAAGCCTTTATGGCCCCAGCACAGCATTCGATTCGTCACCATTGAGTTCAAGAACGTGCACATTGCGTGAATGTTATTTATGCTGCTTCTATTCGTTGTTAAAATATACTTGTTGCGTCGATTAAGTATAAGTTTCCTTCTATAGATACATTTATTTGAATTCGTAACGAGAATTTGACCTACTGCCTATTTCGTCTATGCTCCGCTTAAAAATTTTACTTAAGATACACGATTAAATTTAATGACTAGGGTATTTTATTGCCAACGGTTGAGTATTTATTGTTTTTCGCTATATTGTCTTGAATTTCTAAAGCTTCACTGGCAGTTTTTCTCTAAGTAAATATTTACAAAGATGCGGGCAATCCAGAAAAATTTTCTGCATTAATGTATGTGAGTCTGAAAACTGAAATATCGGGTCTCATGGGGAAATATTCTCCAAAAGAAGTTTCAAATAATTTTGTTCCGTCGTAAATTATTTCATGAGCTTCTATTAACTATGAGATAGAAAATCTCTTAATCGACGATAGTCATTAGCGCTAACACATTTATACGATTGGAGTTAAATGTCCCCTTATCCAGAAACTATTATGTAATTTGAAATTATATAGGGTTGAGAATAGTTACACTTATAAACCTAAAAGACAAAGTTTAGTTCAAGTTTATCCCAAAGTTTTATTTCAAAGCTCAACAAAAAGTTTTGTAGTCGAACAAAGAAGAATCCATGAATCATCACGTTAACAAATTTTCACGTGATTCGTAATATTTTGCAAATTCCATCTTCGAACTCAGATCTGAATACTGCAATGGAAAATGAAAATTTTCAACCTTGTTTACTACTTTTAATGATATTAGGACCTACTTCAACCACAAAATGAGGTGACCAAGGTGTTTTATTTGAGTATTCATTGATGTATATTCATCACATATTCACGCAGCTTGAACTTCGATGCCACTAGATGAAGCTAAACATTTACTGGCTTCTTCAGATTAAATGTTAACGTATATGACATTACTCGATGAAAGTTCATGCATTGCACTTCTAATGCGGGAGTGCAGTCATTTTGTAGCTGGAAAAATGATATACTATTTTTGGTGAAGTCATAAAGGTCCTTTCAGTTCCAATAACTGGCTAATATTATTGGGCTGAAAGCCTTGTCCATTGCAGCCGATATTTTATTGCTGTCAAACGCATTATTTCACGGAATAGTGAGTGCATTTCTTTCGAAAGGCTTTCATTATACAATGATTGATTAGAACACTGGACCTACAAGGCATCGAGAAATCGGTGTCGATTGTGAGACTTAGCTAAAATTTTTTGCTTTATTCTAAATAACCAAAATTAGGAAGAGTGACATTTTCTCTGGAACGTCCCTTCACACCACGCAATTTCGATCAATTTGACCGTGTTTTGCATGACCCTGTCGTGTCGGCCTGAGAAATAAACTTCCAATCTTATACAATTAACTCAACACTAAAATATCAATCTTATATCACATTTAGGGTCATTGGTGGCAAATACCAAGATACCAGGTTTGCATTTCCAAACGGGTAAATTTACCATGATAACGGTCCAGAGTGTATCTCGTGATACTGGTAGGAATTCTGTTTATTATGTTTATTAATATCATAGTCAGGTACCATAGAACGGATAAAAATGTGTATTTTAAAACTGTTGCTGCATATGCATATAAGTTATAATCTATATCATGCAGGTACTGCAACAGCGGTACCAGTTTTACACATGCCCGTGTAGTGATAGTGTAAAATAAGTAATCATTATCTGATTACGAAATTTCCTGACAAATATTTATGTCCGTAACTGATCATAGAAATGAATCAGGAATATTTTTCTCATATTTCGAATTTATTTTTTTATTTAATTTCATCAAATCATATAATAGGCTCTAAATTTAACTCAATGTTAATTATTTAAATTATGAATTTCAAATTAGGTTACATTAGTTTTATGCATTGCATTACCTTCATGCTCACTTAGTGGTGATTATTTAAGTTGAAATACATAAGATTTTTAAACTACGTACGAATCACAACGGTCTTACCCAGCCATTATGAATCATTTGTACAGATTTATTAGCTTACCTATTGATATCAGTCAACGATTTCTATTTAGAACATGAAATCAATAAGAAAGCCTGCAGTTCTGGCCGCACTAATGTATCAATTTCAGTAATGTATCAACTTTGTGTGAGAAAACACGAACAGTTCCATGGGCGGTAAATTGAAATCCAATACAATATCCAATAACGTGTTAGCACACGAGTGTAAACGCCAGCACAATAACACGCTGGCACACGTGTGTACATGCCAGCACAATAACACGCTGGCACACGTGTATACATGCCAGCACAATAACACGCTGGCAAACACGCTGGCACACGTGTGTACATGCCAGCACAATAACACGCTGGCACATGTGTGTACATGCCAGCACAATAACACGTGGTGTACATGCCAGCACTATACCACGTTGTACATACAGGCCCAACTGGTAAATGCTCATTAATGTAACAGCGTGAGAACCTTCGCATGTAGACATGAGTGACACATGAAGAGGCAATGGTAGGTGTTGCGCCGATTGTTATGGTTAAACAAAAGGTTCATGTCAAATGAATGTTAATACAAAACAAGTGCAAAAACTGCACCAGCAGTAATCACTTCTGTTGATATGAAAACAACAGTGAAAGCATTCATTTCCTTATACATAAAAACCGCAGTGACACCATACACAAGCGATAGTTTAAGAAATACTAATGACAATATTCACTACTGTTGGTGTTATAACGCTACTGACAGCATTCACTATTGTAAGTTAGTGACCAATTTTGTGGCAAAAAAAATCAACTCTTAACACATCATCTAGAACGATTATTGCAGTTTAATCTAGAGCCCCCAAAAAAATCAAGAGTAAACAGACTCGATGACCATTTCTCTTTGTTCGAGCTCCCGAAATGATTAATGAATGGCAAAACTTTATGTTAAGGCAAGAGCTACGTTCATTTATCAGCAATCGATGAATGGAGGGACTCACAATAAGGGCTCGGGCTCAGACGCTCTACAGCCGCTGACAGAGGTGTGGTGAACGAACATCTCAGCGGCCACTGCCACTGTGTTCAACATTAGTTCATGCATCACTGGGTAGGTAGCACCACTGGCTTGATTGTTGATATTTGGTTTAGTTACACATTTCTCAATCACTCCAGTTCTGCTTCCTGTCGCAGTGAGAAAGCCGTAAAAATTTTCACTCTGAACTTTTACTTCCAAACACTAATTATTGAAGAACTAGTAAAATTTAAGAGTTTAATAATATATTATATTTCAGAGTCTGCAGTGTTTTTTGTGCATTAATGCTGGTACAGTGCTTATTAATAAAGTTATACTATTTTCAAAATTCCATAAGAACGTTGTCTCAGAATTTTGGTAACTTTGGCTCAAGCATTTTACCAAATCATGATAATAGCAAAAAAGATTCGAAATAGAAAAACAAAAAAGATGGAACTCTTCGTCAGATAAAGATGATGTTAAGATGTTGTTAGAGTCTGATTTGCAGATTGAAACTATTTCTGATCTGGAAGAAATATAACAGGAAGAAGCGAGCATACTGTTCACCGACCTAAACATTTAATTAATGCATGGCTGTGTTATGACCCTAACAAAATTTTGATGATGGCAAAAATCGGCCAGAGTGGTGCCTAGAACTCGGTGAAAACTCGGTGAACAGAAGTTCTATGTCTTTTTTCGTCTTTGGCATTAAATACAGCCTTTATCTAACTTGCAGGCTCGGAAGTAGTACAGAAAGAGGGCAATGAGCACAGTCTGCATATACCGTACAGGTTAAATCAGAGCTTAACGGCCATTTACCCGCAATGAAAAAACATGATCATTTACTATCGAATAAAACCTGGCCATGTACTCCGATTGACCGAACGTTCCTAATATTTTTTACCGCCACCGTCCGTAAAGTTTGGAAACTGTTCGCTACTAAGAACCCGGGACCTGATCTAGTGTCACGATAGTAGATACTTCTTTGGAATATATATTTTTTGAAATGCTATCCAGAACCGAGTTGCTCATCTTTATTGATCACCACAAAGTGAAAGGATACTTTATACGTTTCAATACATAGTTATGGAAACACAGTATGGGGCATACCGCAAGCAATGTAATCACTGTGAATATTCTTCCTGTCGATGAAAAGTAATTCGAATTGAATTAATAATTTCGAATTAGTTCCAATGGTTTGTCTTGGTTATATGTGATAGTTTTGGGAAAATTAAATTTAACTTCAGTTTTTATGTCTTAAACGGGTGTAAACAATCATCAGCACTTTTTTTTTATTCAGCAGGATTTTGATTTTTCTCGGGAGCAATATCATCAAAAATGAACTAATTTTTCATCCGAGGATCTATGTCGCTTGAGTCAGGTTACTGAAGCAGTATTCTCAGAGTATTTTTTTGCAAATTTTTGTTTCCGTCTATTAGGTAAGTTTTTTAGAAATGTGTCAATACTGCCATTGCTGTAGCATTGCTGTAGCTAATCATATGAGCTTCGTTTATCACAATCGCAGTGAGGTTCAGTTATTTCTGACCTTCATTCAACGAATTAATTTGTTGTGCTCGTCCATTATGCGCTTATTTGCTCTGTAAATTCTTGGGTACGCGATCAATAAAAAAGGATCACATTCTGAATACCCTCATTCGACGGGAGCATAGCGCTAAATGTATTGCAAATCAGGTAACGGTCGAGGACAAATTTGTTACAGAAGACTCTAGATATTAGCGATAAATTTGCCTTTGCTAGAGCGGTCCTGGAACTGGAGCGAGTTTTTTTGAGGAGGCTATTTTTTGAGAGCGCCATTGCAGGTGATTATCATTCAATAAAAAATTTATTCAAGATGAGCTCTGCCATTGCGGTAAGCAAGATAAAATGGTAAGCTGAGTAAAATAATAAATGATTAGAGTGCTAAGAATGGAGCAAATTTAAATTGGATTATACACAGGACATCGAATGGATTGAAATGCTGAGCAGACAGAAGATTCATGTGCATAAATCGGCTCAATTAAGTCAGATTAACCCATTTACCCAAACGATTTTGCTCGCTCAACAATAAGTCCTGCGTTATTAGGAACGATTATTTTCCAAACTTTACTGACGGATGCGGTTTAAAAATGTTGATGGTGCTCGGTCAGTTGGAGTAAATGCTCAGGTTTTGATCTGGGCAAATGAACAAGTTTTTAGTCGGTGGTAAATGTTTGTTAACCTGATTTAACCCGTATATGCAGACTGTGCCCATGGCCCCTTTTTCTATACTATTCTCGGAACGACTCGGATTTCAATCGGATGAAAGAGCAGACATAGAATAACTATAGGCCGAGTGATGCGACTTCTGAGCAAAAGTCTGGACGCTACCCGATTTTGTCAGGGAAGGGAGAAGTGATTGTTTAACAACACACACCTTATAAAAAAAGGGTGCCTCTGGCTTGGATTTTGGCCAGCGTTTCCAAATCCTCAGAAACACAAACACGCTTTTCGAATTTCAAAATAGTTCATAGACATATCTAGCTCAAGTGGGAATACAGATTTCGGGGACTAAATGTGTGGTGTAGAAGGCTATAAAAACTGAATGTTCACCGAAAAATGTAATTAAGACCGCGAAACAAAAGCTAGTTAAAAGATTTTTTCGCAAAATTGAAACATTTACTATTATCACGACTTCTTCCTCAGACTATAACTTTAATAGAGACGAAAAATGTGAAAAAACGTATTCGGTAAAATCTATTCATTTGAAGAAACATTGCATCATCTCTGAAATGCTGAGGAGGCCGCGGCTGTTCATGCTGCTGCTGTCCGTGCTGCACGGAACCGGCGTAGCATCAACGGGCTCATCCTGGTACCACGTGCACCCCCAGGCAGGGTTCGGTATCGCTGATACCGCGGCAGTGGTGCACTATACATCGTCTGCCATACAGGTAAGGTTGTTAAGTTAAATTTTATTACATAGTTTAATATGAATCTTTTTAACACGTTCAGTACGATATGACACACCATGGTTGCCAGATGATTTTTTTTCCGATTAAGTTCCTCGATTTCGTTTTTTTTTCAATTGCGTTGAACGGCAATAAATTCTGATGGCTGCACATCTTTATTGTATTTTAGAATGTAAAAAAATAGGAAAATTGAATTTTGCCGGGCAATCAACAAATATACCAGTAATATTAAATTGTGGAATTTTTTGTGGCCTTTTTTTGTCGCGGATTTGGCCGTTCGTGTAAAAATATAACTCAATACTAACTGCAGTGAGTGACAGAGAGCGCATTTTCTCGTCGAAGAAAACATGAAGTCACGAACGGACAGACAGTACAGACGGACAGACAGACGGACGGACGGACATGACGAGCACAATATCGCCTTTGTAGGTAAAAGAGAACTTGCTCTAAAAAGGACGATTGGATGATCATAACTAAATCGCTCCAATAAAGTTAGTTTAGCAATAATATTTTTATTCTCTCAAGCTTTGATTCGCCTGGTGCTGTTCATTTGTCGGTATTAGTGAATTAATACAGTATATGTATGTAGATTTTTCTTTCGTCTATTTTGGCACCTATAAAAATGTATAGCTTTTCATGTTGAATCAATAATTGTTCGATTTTGCTGTATAAATGATGGCATTTATTCTAAGTTTCGATGGTTTATCCGAGTCGAGAAAAAAACCCGGATTTTATTTCTTCACTGAAAATTAAAGTTTCACCCAAATGCTCTTCATAGTAATGTGAAGCATCTTTAATATTGATTTCCCAAGTTAGATTTTCATCTAACTCTTAGGAAAAATTACTTACCGTAATTTCCAAAAGTTTCGTTGCCATAATTCATTCCGCAATATCCACAAAATTCACATTATACAAGTAGTATTCCGCCAAACATTGATTGCCGCTAATAATTTTTGCAACGTGGCACATTGTCTTTCAATTTAACACATCAGTACGAGTATCCCGTACTGATTAGGGCACAATTTCAATTGATACATAGTATTAAAATTTAAGTCGATGCAAATCAATTTATCGTTGTCAATACAAAACAGTCCATTTAAATTATTACGTTGTATCTCGTTATAATTAGATACAGAATTACCCATTATTAATGAATACAACTGACAAATCTTTATTTCTCTTTTCAAATAATAACTTACTGCACTGAAATGAGAAAATTTCTTGCAGTGTGCTCAGCTGTGCTCGATTTCTGGCTCATCTGTCTTCTCCGTCACTGAAGAAAACACAGGAAAAGTGAGATGCAGAATTGCATCGTCTGGCTTCCGAGCTGAGAACCTCACCGCCGGCGCCGCTGCTGCAGGAGAAACAACCTACGTCGACGTGAGTCATAAACAGCATACAGAAGCCGGGGAATAACATCGTTTGCGGGCGTGTTTGTGAATGATTTCAGAATCGCAGAAAAATGTTTAAACTGGATATTACTCCTAAAATTTAAACAATAAACTAACTTTTTAAAACTGTCTGTGCGTTAAAGTTAGTCTGTGGGATAAGTGCCACTCATTACCCACACTATAAGCACGATTGAAAATTAAATAGACTTGATCTGAGGTTTGATTGCAGAGTAAATGTTTAACAAGGAGGTCATAAATGACCGGAATAATATTGTGAATAATACCGTTGGCAACTTATTGACCTGTCGAAAAGTAAATCTAATATATAATGGTTTTTTAAGGTGTGATTGAGGAAATGATAATTCAGTACAGCGGTATTACGAAACTTACAAAGAAACCTACTTTAAATACCTAACGCTATACTAGCATACCTGCTGTGAGAATCGGCCTGGAGATGTTGGTGAATGACAAAATGTATACAAGGCTTAAACTTCCTACACGATGTTGCCAAGGTAGAAGGGAAGTTATAATTTTATTAGTGCAGGGGTGGCAGGTGGCAATTTTATTGGTGGCAGGGTGGCCCAGTGGTTAAAGTTCAGAGTACCAAGATTGACGCACTGGGGAGGCGCGGGTTCGATCCCAGCTCTGTGCGCCAGTTTCTGGTCAGAATCGGCAAGGAGGCCGGGCGGTTAAGCACAGCAGAATTATTGTAGCAGTGCGTTGCGAGTTCGAGACCTCAAAATGCTGTGAATGTTCTGCGATGTTAAGAATCGGCTACAGGCCTACGGCCTAATAAACGCTGAAACGGCTATATTTCTATTAGAACATGAAACTCGTAAATATTGTGCCACTACAAGCGCTACAAGGCAGTTATTATTGAAGGTGGAGGGATGAAGGATATTTCTGCAAACGTACTGGAGTCCATAAATGATTTGCCAAAAAAATTGATTGATATTTTTTAAGTGTCGCAGGCTCATAAATTTTAAACAAGCGTGTCTTGAAGATCATTTTTGTAGTGATGTGTATAAATTAATTGTTCTATTAATTTATTTAATTATCCAGTATTTATTCACCTAAGGGCCATCAATTTATTGTTCTTGTAATTTTATTTTCTTTTTATATTTTACTGTAGAACAAACCTTGCCATCATCTGCCTACTTCAAATTGTTACACCTGTTTGCATTATGCACCTTAAACCAACTTTATACTTCATATAAAATATCAGCGCCTAACTGAACAGTTTCAGAAATTCTAATATCAACATTTGACAATTCTAAACATTTGATACAAATTTTGGAGTTTGAATACCAGATTTAGTGCGAGAAAATAAAAGTTTCAAAATAAAGATTACGAGGCACACTTAGGTAAATATCAAATTATTTTTCATTCTGCGAGATGTAAATATGTGTTAAAAGAATTATGTTCTTTGCCATTAATTCAGACATAAGCAGACCAGTAGATTGTACAACATTCATTTCAATTTTTTTACCCCGCTACTGTACAGGAACTTACCACAGCCGCACCCACTCCAGGTGAGTAATAACTTAAAACCCAGTAGAAATTTACAGACGCTGCAGCGTCTGATTTGGATTGCTTGAAGCTTGGGCGACTCTAAATTTTGTTGGGGAAGATTGGCCAGAAAAATAAACTTCCGCTTAGCACTCATGTACTTGAAAATGAATTCCTGATGAGTTAGGGTGCGATATAACGCTCATGAGCAGACTAATTTTTTCTAGTGTGCATATTTTTAGCAAGCATTTCATCAAGACTTGAAACTTACTTAAGTCAATGGCTACACGCTACATGAGACTATATAAAAATTGTGCAAAGTCATATCGTTCTATGTTCATATCCATTAAACACGCACATTAAGACTCCCTCGGTGAATATTTTTGCTTTTGTGTCAAAAACAAAGCTATTTTATTCCCCCAATATTGAAGTTAGCCAATTCGAGTCCAAAGAAATTTGAAGTTACTTCCAAATGAGTTACGCTACAAAAATTATGATATGTAAGAGTCTCGATTCCGTTTTTATGAAAAAATCATGGCGTCTTTTTGCCTAGTTGTGTTTTATCATCGTTTTACATTATCATTGCTTACCTTACATTAAACAAAATTAATATTTTGTCGTGATACGTTCCACTCTTTGGATTACCATAAATTGAAATAATATATGATGAAAATATGTATTACAATATTCAGTGTTAGAATAAGTTTTCTTCGCCAAAAGGACCATGTCTGACGGCATTGGATATCAACTGCACCACTGTGGGGACTCACTTCTACCATCCAAGCGACTGCACCAAGTACCTGATCTGTCAAGGCGGTACCCACCCGGTAGAAATGCCATGCGGAACTGGCACCTACTGGAATATGGTTAGCCTCAATTGTGTTGCGTCTCAGCCTGTAAAATGTTCTTGCCAGACGTCCGTCTGAAGGGTCCATACACTTGTGAGTAAAACCCCATACATATGCGAGTAAAGGGCCATAGACACTTGCGAGTAAAGGGCCCCATACACTTGCGTGTATACGGCCTACAAAATTTTTTTGCCCGACGTCCATCTAAAAGGTTACATAGGCTTTTTGTGTTTAATTCGACCCATTCATCGCACACGCAAATTCAAATAGACGAAAACATTAAATTTTATTTATATTTTTGATGGATCAAAACAAAAGAAACGTTATGAACCTAACTATGAAAAGTTTGCCATTGGATAATTGATATTATTTCAAAATGTGACAATGCCATAGCAGAAAAATTTAGGTGAACTGCAATTATAAGAACCAAATGCGCTAATTTATCGACCCATTTCTACCACTTCAATTAAATAGCGGCAACACTACATATAAGACACCCTAAGAATATAAGGACAACGATATATTCAAGTTAAAAAAGACCAACATACTAAAACAAGAACTAAAGTACTTATAGATCTTTAATGTCGTTATTGTTCAATTTTCTATTGATTTTCAGCATTTTCATCGACAAATCATCAATACTACTGTTGCCATCCTTCTCTTTCAGCCTCCACACGCTCTCCAAAAATCTATTTGGATCCTATAGCAAACCAAGTCTGTTCCCTCTGCCAGATACGCAGTCTCTGCTATCTCCTCTCTGCCTGTTCTCTCATTCGCCAACTCAATGTCTAGAGATACCCGCAAATAACATGTAAACAGAGTTTGTTTTAGGGCACTATTCAAGGCCATGCTGAAGCACCACCATCTACGGCTATAATTCGCCTTCCACCAACGACAAGGAGAAATAAAGTGAACTTCCCGAGGCTCAAACCTGCACGGCTAGTTCCTCTCCCTCATTAGGTCTTTGCATTTTACTTCAATCCACACATCGTACATAAAACCCTAATCTTTTATCCTCTCTTTCTCAATGTATTTCTCCCTCACACAGAACAACTCTGAACTCATACAAAACAGTATATACGAATATATAGACCTCCACCTGTGATGCCATCATACATGCTTCACACTATGGCATCGCTTGACTACCAACAGTAGATAACACAGGCAGTAATGCCGATTAGTTGGAGTGGACACAGAACCAATTTTATATCAATAATGCTTCATTGATGCTGCACGATATAGTGCCACAAGAATTTTTTTTGTATCGTAGCAAAGACGAACGTTCTATACGTAGGAAAGAGGAACTGCCGTTTGAATGAATAAGAATATAATGTTATATCATCCACCTCGCATTTAAATTATCCTTTCACGTGATCTTGAATATTTAATGGCACTCATTTTAGCTAACAATGTCTCACTGCTCACACATCTAAAAATATTATCGTGGAAAACATGTTTTCAATAAAGAAATGAAAAACAAAACCAAGACGTGTCTTTTTCTTAGGTGCTCGTCTGTCGATAAAATGTAATTGCAATTCTTGTAAGTGCAAGTACTTGCAGCAGGTCATCTTCGCCTATTGAAATACAACCACTGCCATGTTAAGTCATTCAAAATTTCAGTCTTGCACTTTACATGATTAAATCTTTATTCAGCTTAAGACCTTATAATGGGTTTAGGACTTCCCAGTCCATGGTCAAGCTGATGCTCCTCCTTCGTCGTTCACCGTCTCCAAGTCGTCGATAGGCAGGTCCCCTCCGCCCTCGGGTCCCAGATAAAACGTATCTGCTCTCTGCTCTCCCAGATATGTGCTCTCCTTCGGGCCAGCTGATGCAAGATGCTGTTTCTGTTGTTGTGCAAGATGCTGTTGCTGTGGGTAGTGTCCTATTACTGGACAATCCGGGATCTTCTTTAGAAACTTATCCAGTTGTCTCTTGAAAGTCGCAAGGTTAAACTCCCCTCCTCTCAGCGCCTTTGTAAGACGTTAATTAGCCTTGGTCCTACCCCGGACAGTGATCCTTTACAAAGGGTCTGTACTCTGACAGTGGCACTGTTATTGAATGGCGGGATCCTGAACACTCTCCCCCTCCTTTCGTTGTAATACGTCACAATTTTGGAGTTCTCACTTTCAAAGTTGGGAGCCAGTCAGGTTATTATCTTCCAAGTGTATAGTATGATATACCTCTCTCATGTCCTCTCCAGTGAGTACAGTCCCAGGTGTTTCAGCCTTCCCTGTAATTCAGCACCAGCTCCCTCATGCCGCTGATACAGTACGTGATGGTTCGCTGCACTGCCTCCAGTTTCCGCACCGCACCCGCCGTGGGCGGCGCCCAAAGCGGGCAGCAGTATTCAAGAAAGGGGTCTTTGAAGAGTGTAATCATTGGTGCTGCTTCTCTTTTTCGAAATGTCCGCCAGATCTACCCCATCCTTTGGCTGCCTCGCGCAACTATTTGCTCGATTTGGTCATCGAACGTGGCTTCAGTACTCATCAACACTCATCAGAGCGACTACGAGCGAAAATAGCTGGCATCTGCTGATAGCGTCTACGAGCGTTCTACAACAAGTCTGCGGTGTCGTGGTTGGTGCCAGCAATGTGGCAGCGACTGTCGATGGAAGTCAGCAAAGGATTCACAATGAATCAAACACCACTAGAGCAACAATTCAACAACAGCTACAGCGGCGGTAACCGATGTGCACGTGAAAACGTCAAAAAAGAGACGGCAAAAACAACAGCAACTGTCAAGGCATCTAAAGGCTGAGTAATCTATTATGAATTCATAATAGATTTATTGATAATACCGATTGCAAATTCACAGGTAATAGTGCTTTTGATCCGCGAATATTATGCGAGTCACAGGAGGTTTCAGACCATTCCCGCATATTTAATGCAGTAAATGGCCATCTAATTGGTAATTTTGCTATAGTTATTGCCAACGAAACTAGCATGTCTTCTCGTGTAGAACGTAATCATGTTGACCTTATTATAAAGATGTTGAGCGCTAAAAGTAAGAGATTGATTTTCTTACTTATAACGAAATTATGTGTACCGCGGTGCAATGGGCAGCAACGCTTGTAGCTCGGAGGGCGTTCCCAAGCTCACCAGGATAAATGTTTCCTGACGATGTAATTGAATTATATACTGATGAAGACCTGCAGACTTCTATAAGCAAAAAAAGGCCATTGACTCATTGTAACATGAGTCGAAAACTAAATCCTGTGAGGGTAGATTCAGAAGTTAATGTGAGGATATTCGTTCCCAACTCTAACGCCGTTCTCATAAATGAACTTCCTACTAATGAATGAACAGCTGTAATTACAAGAGATTATATACGAATTCTGTAATATTAAAATATTGTAATATCCAATTTTGGGTTTATATGTTCGCTCTTTCATATATATTGCCAGCAGTCATCAATTAAATTGATTGACAGATACGGTAACAGCGAGATGTACGTGTACGAATTTTTCCAGCTTATTGCGCATGTTAATGATTAATGATGTGAAGATTTTTTTAGAGACAAGCAATGATGTATGAGTTTTTGAAGTTAGCATGGCTTAAAAAGCTGGTTAGAGTTACCGAACAGGAAGATTTTAAATGAATTAACGTCTAGGCAAGTTTCTGAATTTGGCGACGAGACCGCATAAAGTAGAAGTAACTTAAATTAACTTTAGCGATGTTATCTTCTTAACTAAGGGTTCATTTAATTGCGCTCGTTATTGTTCATAACCATGACTTCTAATGAACGATGCAAATGTTCGTTTTGTTGATGCGTCACAATCGACTTGTTAATTTTCGTGATTGCGGTATAATCTTTACGCTGTTTTTTTTATAAATTAATCTCATTCAGTATATATATCTGCGGAAGTCGAATACAGCGTTTGAAGAATCCTCGAGCCCCAGAGAAGATATCTTTAGCTGATCTACGTGGTTTGGATGGCTTGCAAAATCTAAGCAAAGCCATGGATTCTTAAGTAGAGCATAATTCCACAGTTTTTCAGTTGACCGCAATAGCATTTTATCGAACTGATTATGGTGGATGTACTTTACCTTGTCCTTGTACCTTTACCTTTAAAACTCTTTGAGGTAACTTAAACGAATCGTTACGTTTTACAATGTGCTGTGAACTTAAACGAGTTACAAGACTCTGATAAAACCCGAACCCATGGCATAGATAAATAATGCTGAATAAATGAATGTTCCATCGTAGCATAACGATTAGCGAAGAGGGAGGTAGAATTTTAATAATAATTCGGACCAATATAAACCCGTATTATTTTAATTGCATTATTATATCTTGGTAACACTAAATGCTATCCGCAAATGTTTTTGCAAATATCATGTTCAACTGTGCAATGCTGATTTACAAATGTCTTTTGAAATTTTGAATAAAATATTTCATGTTTCTACTTTATATTTTTCCACCACTTTATCAATAAAGAAAATCTATGTTATCTAGTACTCAATTACATTAACTGTAAAAGTAATGAATTGATAAATTGAGATATCCAAGCGATTTAAAACGGTAGATTTAATCTTTAAAATTAGATTAAACTGTAACAATTACTTATTGTAACAGTCATGAGTAGATATAGCCGCCAAAGACTTCTAGATCACGTGCATATAAAAGAGTTCAACGTCCGAAAAATGCTGACGCTCGATTCATGGAAGCCAGTAATATTTTTTTCTCTCTGAGTGGACGAGAAATATTTTAGCAACCTTCATTCTCCCCAATGATGCCAATATCTTGTATTGAGTACATAATTTTCTCATGAGGATTTAATGTACCTATTTACAGTTTCGTTGCTATTATTATTGCGTTGCAATAATTTCACTATCATTGAGTGACACTATCACTAACGCTTGATCATGTCGTGCGAAATGTTCTTATAAGGGTTATTTCATATTGCTTAGAATTAATTAGCGACTCGTTCGTGTAATTAGCGACTTGTTCGTGATCTAGGAGTGTTGATGAATACTCAGGTAAATTTTGGTGATCACGTAACGGCAATAACCGCAAGAGGTAGGCGACAGATGGGGTGGATCTGGCGGACGTTCAAAACAGGAGAAGCGGAACCGATGATCACACTCTTTAGAGCCTTTGTAATACAAATTCTCGAATACTGCTGCCAGCTCTTGACCCCGTTCACACTTGGCGCAGTGCGGCAACTGGAAGATGTCCAGCAAACCTTCACTTCCAGGATCTGAGGGATAAAAAAGTTGAACTACTGGGAGAGGTTGAGGCGCCTGGGTCTGTACTCACTGCAGAGGAGACGGGAGAGGTATATCATTCTGTACACATGGAAAATGTTACCCGGAATGGTGCCAAACTTCGAGAGCGAGACCTTCAGGATTGAGACATAGCACAACGAGAGAAGGGGGAGACTGTGCAAGAACCCCCACTACGTAACATATCCGCAGTCAGATTTCAATCCCTGCGGGGAGGATCACTTTCCGTGGCAGAGCCAATGCTGTTCAACGCCCTACCAAGGGATCTAAGAGAAGGGGAGTTCACCCTGGAGACCTTCAAGAGACAACTGGACGTTTTCCTGGGCACAATCCCAGATCGACCTCCCCTGCAACACTACCAGCGGCGAGAAGCAAGCAACAGCATCGTGCTTCAGGTGGCCCAAATGAGGGCGGATGTACGATTATCAGAGGCGGCGATCCATCGTGGCCTGGGACTGCTACGTCCGAAACAAATAACAAGATACCAAGTCTAATGATCTCTTAATACACTTAGAGAATTCGACCGCATTTCACCAGAAATCTTTTTGTTTTAGGCTCATTAAATTCAATGATGATGCAAGCCATGTTTGCTGAGCTTGCTCAATGTCCGTTCGAAAATCGCGTCGTAAGCAAAATGACTTTGCGCTCAGCGATGGCATTTAATGAGATCCCTAATGAGACAAGCGATCTAATTAAAATACATAACAATGATTCGGTCCATGCAGTTCATTCTTGATGAGACTTGTCTATGCAAGATATATCGTGACATTATCAGACAGTGGTGATTTTTGTCACTGAGATCATTCAAGTGTGACGAACCGAAGTTAAAAATGGACAGCTTTACCGTTAAAATATTTAATTGCTCATGTACATATGTATCTACATTTTGCCATTTATTCGAACGACGTTTGAATATACTCTGATGAGATGTTGTTTATTCAAATATTATATTGTATTTCAATTAAGTGCTGCGAATGATAAATGAATTGATAGAATTACTGTGTATCCCTCAAATGTAATGATTCACAAGTCTAAAATTGACATGTTGACGTCATTTGAACGCAGAATGTTTTTTTAAACGGTCTTGTTTTTACTGTATTAAACCGTAAATGATTTTATAGCGAATTTTGCAACGTTTACACGATAAACGATGATTCATGCTTTGCCCTTAGAATTTGGGTTGCATTTCAATTTAAATATGATGATTAACTCGCTATTAACTCATAAATCAATAGGCATCCGTATTAGATTAGCAATTGCTTATTGATCATTCAAGTTAAAGTGTTTGTTATTTTGCTGGCATCTTGCATTAGCAATGTAATAAAATTAATGAAACCGACCGATGCTAAATTT